GAAAATTTTTGCCATCAAACAACAAAAAACTTTTAACTTGGACCATGGAAAATAGGATGAATCAAACAGACTTAGCGTTTTAATGATTGATTATTTGAACGCTTCGGAAGTATTATTAAACAGTATATAATAGCGAATTATAATTGAGTTTTTTTTTAAGTCATTGAATCTGTCACGTCGAAAATGTCATTAGTTTTAACTTTTTCAACACTTGATTAATTTGAGTATCGAACTATAATAAAGTAGACATCACATTTGTATCAAGACAGGTTTCGCTAGAAAAATAGGTAAGCCGCCGTGATAACTAATTTGCATAAACACTCGTTATGTAAAGCAATTAAAGTATTCAGTTTCATTTTTATTTGGCAACATAAATCTCGTCGACAGAAGAAAGAGCGACAAACTTAGTAATAATTATAATCGATTAATTAAAAGCCGGGATTTGAGAAATTTTGATCATTAGGAGGTGGCAATGCAGTATGGCTCCCAAATTAATAGAGACTTCCTTTGCTCTTTGCATCCCCTCGACAAAGGGCTAATGAGCACCAAATCTTGGTGTTCATACGTGTTTTCACCACTGAAATGGGCAATCTTGTGGTTGTTTTTGAGGGGAATGCATTGTGGAGTAGTGATGAAGCTTGTCTTTTTCCGCCAGAAGTATTCATAGGCATTAAAGGAGGCGACAGCGGCCAGTGATGGTGGCGGCGGTGGAGGTGGCGTGGAAATAAGTCGAGCTACTCTGGGTGGTAGTGATGAAAGTGGCAGCTCCTCCCCAACATCTATTAACTTCACAGTTTTGTTGAATTTGTTAGACCATGTAGAATTCATCTTGTTTCTTAGTCCCATGAAGCTCTTCACCATTAATCCTGATTTATCCACACTCAAAATTCTACCTACTGGATTTGGATTCTGCTCAATCACAGACCGAACCTCCACCTCTGCCGGTGCCAGTGCCGGTGACGCCACCTCCTCAGCCATGGCTGCAGCCTGAAAAGTGGGTGGGTCGATCAAAGTGAGGAGAAGGCGGCCTTCATGGCGGCTAGCCCGGAAGCAGTTTTTTGAAGGAATGGATACAGCTTCAAGAATTAACCTCCCAT